TATATAATATATATATTGTATATATGTATATATATATATATATAATATATATATATATATATATATATATATATATATATATATATATATATATATATATATTAGTATATATATATATATACTATATATATATATATATATATATATATATATATATATATATATATATATATATATATATATATATACATTAAGTATACTTCTATGCTATACAAAACATTTATCTCACTTGTGATGAAATGTAAACGTAATTTCACTTTGTTGGTACGTAAATGTACCGTTAGTTGAAGTGGCCGAATATCCTTTTTTGGGTTGTTCAGTTGGTCCTCAACACGGATCAGACACGTGACTTTTACTTTGACTCCTACCTACACTCTCTAGACGGACAATCTTAAGTCATACGTGCGCTAATGTATAGGTATTTTTATACCTACATTATATACCTTCACCAATATCCTGTACAAAATACGATGTTTCTTGTCCTCATACATACCTACATCATTTTTATTTACAAATTAAGGTGTTTCTTGTCTTCTTATATATCACTATATATCATCTCATTCCAACTGCAGTGGTAGTACCAGCAGTAGAAGTGGGCGTTCGCTGCTGTCGCGGTGGTTCCGAACTTCGGCATCACGGCACAAGCAAGTGGCAACAGAATCCATTGGAGTCAGCGCGGTAGGGATAACTCAACTGTTTATGTTGGTGTTGTTCATATCCTATAGGTGATCTCAGTCTGTACCATTTAGGTAACCATGTTTGTCGCACTGTTTTTAGAAACTACCTATATAAAAACTACCTGTTCAAAAACTACCGGTTTAAAAACTATCTACGCGTCAGAAGAACACATGTGGATATATACGCCAGTTCATAGTAGTAGTTACCTGCAGATAAACATATGTATAAGTACATCATTTATTGCGATACTCACTCACGTCCATAACCTACCTACAGAGATGGGTAGGTAGACTGTGTACGGGAGTCATGTTTGTTCTCAGAAACCTCGTAAGATGCAGAGATGAGTACATATGCACTTGGTCATTGTAATAGTAAATGTATATTTGTCCTCAGAAGTTTCACATGTCTGACCATTCACACCGTGTTGAATCCTTCATCTACCGTCGCCATGGTAACCGTGTTTAACCTTCCATCCATCGTCGCCATGGTAACCGTGTTTAATCTTCCATCCACCGTCGCCATGGTATCCGCAGTCACCTGCCCCAACTACACCGGAAGATGCTAAAGCAACTGGTAAATATGTGTAGTGTGGTATGCATTGGTATTGAGTGTGATGAATCTATGTGTATATAATATAGTATGAATGGTTGGGCGTGCCTGTAGGTTGAACCTGCAACTGTTGTGTGGTATTATATGTAGTGATTGTAATGAATATATGTTTATTTGGGTATTTGATTGATTTTTGTTTGTATGCATAGTTGCATAGGTCAAATGTGAAAGCGTTGTGCGGTATGAGATGTAGTTAGTGTTGTGAATCTTTGTATATAAAATCGTATGATTTTGCTGGTTTGCTTATAGGTCAGCCCGGGAAGCGTGTGCTGTGTTTATATAGAGTAGTTCATGTGTTTTTTGTGCGTGTGTGTGTTGTCTGTGTGTATGTATGTATGTGGGTGTGTATGTAAGTATGTTTAGTGTGTGTAATAGGCTTTGTATATGTATACTAACATATACACGCTGTCGTTTTTGTGAGTGACCCTATGCACACAGCGACATATATTGAACATTTATAGTATCTGTTACAATATAATGTATAGTTTATTATATTATTGTCACTGACATTGACACTATTATATTCATCTCCCCATATAATGAAGTAAAGGTACACCCGGTTTGCCTTATACAGCTTTTCCATTGATGTGTTCTATTGATCTATTAGTCCAGAATGTCCTTGTATACGTTGGCAGTGCTCAATAGTTTGATGTGAGGGACTGCTTGTGCGCATATACTCGCCCGTCGCACTGCTCATCTCAACATTAAACCCTAAACCCTACATCCAACACCCTACACCCTACACCATTAAGCCTATCCCATATCTGCTATCTTCACATATACATATATACAACTGTCAACCCCAGTACTCGTTTGTACCCAGTGATGTGATATCCTGGACTGGTAGGTGCAGTCGTACATTATGATATATCACCATGTTCAAGCACAGAGAGTATTAGACTAAAAGGGTGGGGGAAAAGAAATTCTTTTCGGAGCCTACCAATACATGAACCGGTTCTTAAACAGGGAGTGTGTGTCACTTTCTACACGACACTATGTCTACCTACCTGATATCCCATCTGGTGTATATGCTGCAACAGGTGTTTTAAACAGGGTGTGTGTCACTTTCTACATGACTCTATATCTACCTACCTGATATCATATCTTGTGTATATGCGGAAACAGGTATTTCTAGGCCAGTGTTTCTATCGCGTACTAACACGGTGAGAGGGGTGGTTACTAGCTGTGAGTTTGCATCAGGGACAATGCCTGCGGAGGACACATTGGTTATAAGAAGGTATTGGCATGTCTGTGTCGCACGGGTTTTAAACGTACACATGTTTGTGTCATTTATCTATATGTATAATTAACAAAGTT